TTCAATCTAAGACACACAAAATGGAAGAATATAGCAAATAATGTTGTAGCAGAAATAATCCCTGGAGGTAGCTCAGATGAAAGGTCACACACGCAGGAGCTGCTGAATTTCTGCAACAAACACACCCTAAGTCAGCAAATAGTGGAGCCAACAAGACTGGAGAACACACTGGACCTTATTTTCACAAATAATGAGGACCTGGTAAGGAATATAACAATATCAAAAACAACAAATTCTGATCACAATCTAATCGAAGTCCAGACTTGCATGCACAGGAGTCCTGATCAGCACAATGCATTCAGTTATGAGGGTACCTTTACCAAATTCAACTTCAACAACAAGATCATCATCTGGGATCAGGTAAACTATGCCCTAAATGAAACATGCTGGAGGATATCTTAAATTACATGGACCCTAACCAATGTCTCGAAAAGATCACCCTCCTGGTAGCTGAAGTATGTTCAAGGTATATTCCAATAAGACAAAAGAAAAGAAGAAGTAAACTGGAGAGAGACGCTCCCTCTACAGGAGAAGACGAAGAACCATTGAGCTCCTCAAGAATGCCAGATTATCTGATACACGGAAGGAAGTGCTAACCAGGGAAGTGAAAAATATTGAGCTGAAGTTAAAGGACTCATACAGGATCCAGGAGAGACAAGAGGAGCTAAAAGCGATTAATGAAATTGAAAGAAATTCGAAATATTTCTTTTCATACGCCAAAAACAAGTCAAAAAACCACTTCTAGTATAGGGCCCCTGCTCAGACAAGATGGATCCTACACTGACGACAACAAAGAAATGAGCGAGATACTGAAATTACAGTATGACTCAGTGTTCAGTGAGCCACTAACCAGTTTAAAGATAGATGATCCAAACAATTTTTTCATGAATGAGCCTCAAAACCCTGCCAATGTAGGCCAGATTTATGACATAACTTTAACTCCACTAGACTTTGAGAAAGCCATCGACGACATGCCCATGCACTCAGCCCCAGGCCCAGACTCGTGGAACTCGGTGTTCATTAAAAACTGCAAGAAACCCCTCTCACGGGCCTTAAGTATGCTATGGAGAAGGAGCTTAGACACAGGCGAGATTCCACAGTCACTAAAAACAACAGATATAGCCCCACTCCATGAAGGTGGCAGCAAAGCAGCAGCTAAGAACTATAGACCAATAGCTTTAACGTCCCACATCATAAAAATTTTTGAAAGAGTTCTAAGAAGCAGGATAGCAAACCACCTAGACTCCCAAAAATTGCACAACCCAGGGCAACATGGTTTCAGAGCAGGTCGCTCCTGCCTTTCGCAACTGCTTGACCACTATGATATGGTCCTAGATGCACTGGAAAACAAACTGAATGGAGATGTAGTATACACAGACTTTGCAAAAGCCTTTGACAAGTGCGACCATGGTGTAATAGCACACAAAATGCGTGCTAAAGGGATAACCGACAAAGTAGGCAGATGGATCTTCAACTTTCTAACCAATCGCACACAAAGAGTAGTGGTAAACAGAGTTAAATCAGATGCTGCCATAGTGAAGAGCTCTGTCCCACAAGGCACAGTACTCGCACCTATCCTGTTCCTTATTCTCATATCAGACATAGACAGAGATGTAAACCACAGCACTGTATCATCTTTTGCAGACGATACTAGGATCTGCATGAGAGTGTCATCCATTGAGGACACGGCAAAGCTCCAAGAAGATATAAACCAAGTTTTCCAATGGGCAACAGAGAACAATATGATGTTCAATAATGACAAATTCCAACTACTCCGTTATGGAAAACTGGAGGAAATAATAACTAGGACTGAGTATACTACAAACTCCAATCACACGATAGAGAGGAAAAGTAATGTGAAGGACCTGGGTGAGGTAATGTCCGAAAACCTCACCTTCAAGGACCACAACAATGCCACTATCACATCTGCTAGGAAACTGATAGGATGGATAATGAGAACATTCAAGACAAGAGATGCTAAGCCAGTGATGATCCTTTTTAAATCACTTATTCTTTCTAGGCTGGAATACTGCTGTACATTAACATCCCTATTCAAGGCAGGTGAAATTGCAGAGCTAGAGAATGTACAGAGAACCTTTACTGCACGTATAAGTTCCATCAAACGCCTTAACTACTGGGAGCGCCTGGAAGCACTTGACTTGTACTCACTAGAGCGCAGGCGAGAGAGATATATCGTAATCTACACCCGGAAGATTCTGGAGGGACTGGTCCCTAATATGCACTCAGCAATCATTCCATTCGAAAGCAAAAGACTTGGCAGGCGATGCAACAAACCCCCAGTGAAAAGTAGGGGCGCCACTGGTACACTAAGAGAAAGCACAATAAGTGTCCGGGGCCCAAGACTGTTCAACAGCCTCCCACCAGCAATAAGGGGCATTACGGGAAGACCCCTGGTTGTCTTCAAGAGGGAGCTGGACAGATACCTAAAGACGGTGCCGGATCAGCCGGGCTGTGGTTCGTACGTTGGATTACGTGCGGCCAGCAGTAACAGCCTCGTTGATCAGGCCCTGATCCACCGGGAGGCCTGGTCGTGGACCGGGCCGCGGAGACGTTGATCCACGGAATGCCCTCCAGGTAGACTCCAGGTAGACCTGATCTTTTCTTCCGCTCCTCCTCTCCCTACCTCTTCTTTTTTCATATTGTTCTTTATCTTCCCTTCTTCTGCCTAAGTGTATTCTATCCTTCAGTTTATTCTTCCCCTGTGTTTTTGGTCCCGCCCTTTTGGGTCTTTAGCTCTTGTGCCTTGCTCATGTTCATTGTCCTTTGACTCACTTCATGTCTCCTACTCCATTACTACTTCTACTACTATTGCCTCGCTTCACACGGTGAGAGTTCGGCTTCGATTCCCGGCCGGGTGGAAACATTGGGCGTGTCACTTTACCCCGGTTGTCTATGTTCACCCATCAGTAAAATGTGTACCTGGGTGTTAGTGGACTGGTTTGGGTCGCATCCTGGGACAAAACTGACCTAATTTGCCCGAAATGCTTAGCATAACAAGCGGCTTTCTGTACCAGTACTTGTACATGTACTGGTAGTAAATAAAGATATTATTATTATTATATATTATTATTATTATATATTATTATTAAGTCGGACTTAGTCGTCGTCATAAGCTTCTCTCTCCTATGTGCGGGTTATTTGTTCCAGTCACGGAATTGTGCCTCTTTATTTCCTTATCTATTTACTATTCTTTCTTTCTTTAAAACTTGCTTATTCTTGCTTAGAGAAAAGTTCGGATACATTTTGGCCTGTGGAGGCTCTAATTTGTCATTATGCAAGAAACTCGAAAATAGAAATACTGCACTTAATACGAAAATTTTATGGTGTCTTATCTGATTAGTTTAAATCGTTCATGCAGATTTCTCGATAGTTCATCATCTGAGAGGTTTTAAGTTTAACGTGTTTGTATATATCAGGACACTGCTCTGTCTGGTCCCTCTGAAAATTTTCAATTAGATTTGGGCTGTATATGTCATAATTTATCATATTTATTGAATAAATTTGGATATTTGTTTCGGTACGATGACTTGTGAATGCCTTTTTTTGATTCCCTTCAGATCTTCAGTGTTCAGCATTTACCTGCATTTTCAACTTTTGTCACACTCGGCACTGTTCCAGGTTGTGGAATACGGAGATGACTTTCTCAGAACTTTTAGCTACAGAAATACGAAAGATGAGGTAATGAGTCCCTCAGCCTTGGAGTTGGTGTGATGAGCACTGTTGTCGTCAAGATTCTTTACGATTAAGGTGCTCTTTACACCACCTCCAAGGCTGAGGGACTCATTACTTCATCTTTTGTATATAGTTCTACTGTCTTCAAGTTATGTCCTAGAATTTGTATTGATAAAGCCACTGGATGGCGAAACGTCTACAATAAAGATACACAGTCGGTATCGTACACCATTGATATATATGTTACACCATTGTATACCATTCATATATATGTTTTGCTTATAGAGTTGGTATTCGTTTCACACCATTTCCATTATTAGAATCCTGAAAGAATATATCTTTTTACATTTAGAGTTGCATCAAGAGGAAACTATATAACATCAGATTAAGAAAGTTAAGATACATGTGCAACATCTGGTTATCTTCATTGTAGACGTTTCGCTATCCAGTGGCTTTATCAATACAGATTCTAGGACATAACTTGAAGACAGTAGAACTATATACAAAAGATGAGGTAATCAGTCCCTCAGCCTCGGAGTTAGTGTTCACAGCATCGTGGTGGTGGAGAATCTGGAGCACAGGCAAGAAGACTGGCGGTTATATAGGCGTCAGTGGATAAGGACGTGTAGCAGACGAGGGCATAGTCACTGGTAGGCGGGATCCCCCAGTGGAAGAAGGTCCTACCCAAAGGGATGGGTTAGTTGTAGCAGCCGTGAAGGTCTTGTAGAGGGACTGATTACCTCCTCTTTTGTATATAGTTCTACTGTCTTCTAATTATGTCCTAGAATCTGTATCGATAAAGCCACTGGATGGCGAAACGTCTACAATAATGATAACCAGATGTTGCACATGTGTCTTAACTTTCATCTTGTCGGTATTTTGTACCTTTCTTGCACAACATCAGATTAAGCCATAGAGCAATTAGAAAAATACATATTTATATAATTATTTAACGAAAGTAAGATTCTGTAAAAAATAAATATTAAAAACAACTGAGGCCATGATTGGAACAGTATATTCATAAAAATTACTAATAAAATTGTCTTTTTCAGACAAAACTGGGAATTCTGAAGTCTTGGTATCGATTTTGGTCAAAATATGATACAGGATTTAGAACAGGAAATATAAAATAATATAGTAGATCACTGATATAATTTGTAGATTCTAGTTTTCAAAGAAGTCTGTCTGTGTCTGTCTACCTGTCTGTCTGTCTCTCTCTTTATTCCTCTCCATTTCTCTGTCTATTGATCTGTTTGCTCTTTCCTTTGATCTTCCTCCAATAACTCTTTGACTTTCCCTTGTACCAGGAGACGGAGGTTCGACACCACAAGGCAGCTGGTGTGTTGGTAGGAGGGACCAACCTGGTGCTGCAGAGTGTTCAGCGTCCAGACGCTGGTACCTACACTTGCTCAGCTACTAATGTCGTCGGTACCTCTCGTAGCAACCCTCTCACTCTTAGTATACAATGTAAGTACTCTTTGATGCTGAGTATACAATGTGAGTACTTTCTGGCACTGACTGCATGATGAGTACGTGATGATCAGCATATTATATAATTGTCTACTGAATCTTAGTATTTAGATGCTCAGAATATTGGGGAAATACATTCTGATGTACGGTGTAATGATCTGTATATACTGGAAGTATACAGTGAATCTTCTGGTGTTCAGTATATAATATGAGAACACGCTAAATCGCAGTATTTAGTGTCAACAACTTCTAATGTTCAGAATTTAGTGTGCATATCCTCAGATACTTAGAATTTAAGTACCTTTATGACTGATAGCGCGTGCATAATGACGCTCGACGTATAGTTTGTTTATTTCTGTTGCGTATGTTCTGAGGGTCAGAATTTAGTGAGTACTTAACTTTTCATGGAAATTATATTAGGAGGGACCAACAAATTCGTATTTAAGAGAAAGTTATCATTGCTTTACAAACACTGACAAAGGAAATGTAAATAATCAAGTTTTCTTTTCAGCTATGCACTCTTAGGGAGAAAAAAAAAATGATAAAATATTCGAAAAATTGCATGATTAAATTACCTGGACAATTGACAAAGGATTTCCCATAGCTATGACAAATTAACGTAGGTAAACCATCGTATTGATAAAAATTTTACAATCTACAACATACATGTTAATTTATTTGGTGGATAAAATAGCCTATAGTGGAAGCTGACATTTTGAGAGTTCTATATCAGGAAACCCAAAGATATTCTTAACAGGAAATTTTATTAATCGAAATGGAATAAAAATAGAAAAGTAATAAATGACTATGAATGCTAAAGGCGTGTAATTTTTCTGTTATATTACTGTAGTGGTCTGGTGTTCTGACAGACGGACCAGTGTGTGCACAGGAGCGCGTGACGGTGACTGCTGTAGAAGGAGAGGTTGTGACACTACAGTGTTCGGTGGATGCATACCCAGCGAATGTCACTTTCTTCTGGTTATTTAACAACACTGTGGACTCGACAAACTTCAGGCCCGGTGAGGTGAGAGGCTACTCACAATGGAATGTTAATTATTCTGTAAAATAGATCATTCTAAGGGGAAGGGACTCTGCCTTGATGGTGTGGAAATAAAAACTTCTAAGGGGAAGGGACTCAGCCTTGATGATGTGGAAATAAAAACTTCTAAGGGGAAGGGATTCTGCCTTGATGCTGTGGAAATAAAAGCTTCTAAGGGGAAGAGTCTCTGCCTTGTTGCTGTGGAAATAAAAACTTCTAAGGGGAAGGGACCCCGCCTTGTTGCTGTGGAAAGGATCTCGATATACGGAAATTAAGCAACTCTTCCATTCAAAGAACAAACAGAATTACGTGAAATTTCCCAGGAAATATAGGACTTACATGTTAAGCGCTTCGTCATCAGTATGAATAATTACTTTTCATTTACTGATTAGGAATAATGAGTAATACTTACTCAAATACCCGGACAAAATGGTGAGAATTACTTACACTTTCATCCTAGTAAGAATTAGCAGCACTTACATCAGCACCTTACTATGAATGATGATAGTGTCTTACAATACAACAATACTATGAATGATAGGTATTAATTTATACTAGCAACTTAATGGAAAAGATGAGTACTACCTACAGCAAACTCACGCTGGAATGATGAGTATTACTGACAACTGTGCCAAACTAGGAATGATGCATTTTCTTACACCGGCTTTCTAGTACGAATGATGTGTACTATTTACATCAATACCCAAGGAGGAATGATGAGTATTACTTATATCATCATCCTAGTAGGAATGATGAGTATAATTTACACCAGTGCACTAGAGAAATAATAAGTATTATTTATAACATTAACCTAGTACGAATGATGAATATTACTGATGAGTATTACCTACTCCAGAGCAGCTCCTTAGTTGAATAGTCAGTATTTATTAGACATGCAGCGTAATGGAAAGTATTAAATACACCAGCACCTTTGTTAAAATAATAACGTGTTATTTGCTTAGTAAAAGGACACAAATGCAATTAATGTCACATATTTATTGTGGCAACGTTTCGCCCTCCAGGAGCTTTGTCAAGCAGTTACAAACAATATGTGTCCTTTTACTTAACATATTATCGGTAATTCTACCAATATTAGTACTTACAACTTACAACTGCACCATAATAGGTATGGTGATTATCGCACCTTAGCAGGAATGGTGACCATTATTTCCAGCAGTATGCTAGAGGTAATAATAATTACTTCCAGCACCTAAATGGGAATGAGGAGTATTACTATTTTTCCAACACTCTAGTTGATATGTTCTCCATTACATTACAGAAGAAACTATATATTTCAGTCCGGCGTCAACCGTGAAAGGTGTCCCAGTAATGCATAACCCGAGTCCACTGTACCACAGTGCATGCCTCTGGAATTGTGCAGTGAGGTATAAGTTTCTTAGTTAAACATCAGAGTTATAGATGTGAAGCTATTTTTTTTTTAAATAAAAATCGCAAAATTAGGATATACACAGTCCAAATGAAATTCAGACTTTCCACTATGAAAGACCAACTTTGAAGATAAATAAAAAATGCATTATTACTTTCACTAGTACCGAGTACATCATATAATCCACCAGCACATTATGACTGACGACACTCAGAAGTTACATTATCAGGTTCTCAAAGCTTAAAGGGTTGAAACTAATCGAAAAATGCATCCAGAAACTATAGCTTTAAAAGCAGTTCCTCAAGTTTCCCATTTACATCTGTTTCTTAACTGTTATAAACACACAGATGTTATGAATACATAAACTATCATTAAGTTGATTTAACTAATTTTATTTACTGGATGGACGTCGGTGTCCGTGCGACCAAAGGAAACTGTCCTAGTATTGCATCACGTTGCCGTCCTGGGGACCTCGTTCGTTTCTAACATATATTGGTTAAGTATAATAGTATATATAGGCTTATTCTTTGTATCAAAGAAGTGGTCAAGTTCCCAGGACAGAAATATTTTCTAAAAGATATGTCCTAGTGTTTGCTCAAGAGTCTTTTTTAACTAATCGTAATGACACGATTGCAAACAAACCATACCACGGGTGGGGATAGAACCCGCGATCATGTTAACGGCTTTGAGGGGACTTCAGCTAGAGTTCGTCACGGCCACGCTAGCTGGAGATTCGTCTGTAAAAACCTGCATTTGTGGTCACAGTGGCGCCTATGCTAACCTTCCTATGGTGTAGAAATATACCATGTTGGACGAATCTTATTGTGGCTAGCTGGTCCAGTGGCTAACGCGACGGCCTGGAGTTTTGAGACTCTCTGATCGCGGGTTCTATCCCCGCCCGTGGTATGGTTTCCTTTTTAAACTACTTGTGTAAATAAGTTGACGAGGTTAACGTCAACTCCAGCCACCTGTACGTCATTGCAAGCGAAGGAAATAATGCAGAGTCCGAGATATATTTCTAGTACAGAAAAATATTCAGAATTATCATTTCAAACAAGTCAGAAAAGATATTTACATGTTGTCACAAATGACTTAAAGGACACAGAGCTCAAAACTAATTCAACCCCTATACTAAGAAACACCGACTTTGAAGCCGGTGTTGCATCTCATGGCAGTTGCATCTCATGGCAGTTGCATTTCATGGCAGTTGCATCTCAGGACATTTTAGAGAGACCAAAATCCTAAAATACACCAGCATACTATCTTAAAAGCAGCTAAAAGTTGACGTTATTAAGGGATCATCATTGACAAGTGAAGATAATCGGATGAGGTTTACAAAACAGCCTGAAATTCGAATTTTAAATTTCCTGGTTTACTTGGAGTATACCTGGAGGGTGTTTAAGGGGTTAACGCCCCCACGGCCCGGTCTGTGACCAGGCCTTGCAAATTGGTGCCTGCTGAAGCCTAATTTCAATCAAAACTTTTCTTTAAATAAGACCGACCACCGTCTAAGGTTTAATTAAGTAGGTAAGAATGTATATCAATAAATATGTTTTACAATGGTGTTGAGGCAACACAGATGTTACGTGTAACTAAAAGTACATTATGTAGATTTATCCTAGGATAACCAAATGAAGTAATAAACTCTGAGTTATTCCTGATCAAAAACGATGTCTTCAGTTACTTCACTAAAAAAAATAATTAATAAGATTGGCACTTTACTTAGAGTGCTTGTAATCAAGGTGAGGCTTCCTGTGTCAACAACACACAGTAACAAGAGGCTTCCTCCTCAAATTGCATTGAATAAAACAAAATGTGCAACTACACAGCCTAAACCCGCCCAAAAAATTTCACCCATTTTAGTAGAGGACACAGAAATTATAGACTGATGACTTATAGAATCTATTTTAAACTGGTGACAACACTGAACCAGTAGGTGTCGTAATGCGCCACAGGAATGGGAAGCCTTCAGGCATCTGCGTGAAGAAGGGAGGGGGGGGGAGGGGAGGGGGGGAGGCCCGGGACATCACAAGACCTCTTCACGCTACTACCTTCAGGTTCGATCCAAGAAAAGGGAAGCATAATATTAGTACTTTGGTTCAAAAGCATCACACCGACGTGAAGGTAAAAACAGTGCAATGACATCAAATTATGGTGTAATATACTTATATTAAAAGTAGCAAAATGTCTTGTAAATACTCCAGTTTTATTACTAGTACCACCTCCACTGCTACCACTACTACCACCTCCACTACTACCACCTCCACTACTACCACTACTACCACCTCCACTACTACCACCTCCACTACTACCACTACTACCACCTCCACTACTACCACTACTACCACCTCCACTACTACCACTACTACCACATCCACTACTACCACTACTACCACCTCCACTACTACCACCTCCACTACTACCACTACTACCACCTCCACTACTACCACCTCCACTACTACCACTACTACCACCTCCACTACTACCACTACTACCACCTCCACTACTACCACTACTACCACCTCCACTACTTCCACTACTACCACCTCCACTACTACCACTACTACCACCTCCACTACTACCACTACTACCACCTCCACTACTACCACTACTACCACCTCCGCTACTACCACTGCTGCCACCTCCACTGCTACCACTACTACCACCTCCACTAATACCACTACTACCACCTCCACTACTACCACTACTACCACCTCCACTAAAACCACCTCCACTGCTACCACTACTACCACCTTCACTACTACCACATCCACTACTACCACCTCCACTACTACCACCTCCACTACTACCACTACTACACCTCCACTACAAACCACCTACACTACTACCACTACTACCACCTCCACTACTACCACTACTACCACCTCCACTACTACCACTACTACCACCTCCACTTTACCACTACTACCACCTCCACTACTACCACCTCCACTACTACCACTACTACCACCTCCACTACTACCACTACTAACACCTCCACTACTACCAGTACTACCACCTCCACTACTACCACTACTACCACCTCCACTACTACCACCTCCACTACTACCACTACTACCACCTCCACTGCTACCACCTCCACTACTAATACTACTGCCACCTCCGCTGCTACCACTACTGCCACCTCCGCTACTACCATTACTACCACCTCCGCTACTGCCACCTCCCCTACTACCACCTCCGCTACTACCACTACTGCCACCTCCGCTACTACCACTACTGCCACCTCCGCTACTACCACTACTACCACCTCCACTACTACCACCTCCACTACTGCCAGTACTACCACCTCCACTACTACCACTACTACCACCTCCACTACTACCACCTCCACTACTACCACTACTGCCACCTCCACTACTACCACCTCCACTACTGCCAGTACTACCACCTCCACTACTACCACTACTACCACCTCCACTACTACCACCTCCACTACTACCACTACTGCCACCTCCACTACTACCACTACTAACACCTCCCATACTACCACTTCCACTACTACCACTACTACCACCTCCACTACTACCACTACTACCACCTCCACTACTACCACCTCCACTACTACCACTACTAA